TCTGTTCTCATCAATGTCCCGTTCTCCTGCGGTTGATCTATAGTTTCCGAATCATCCCACTACAATGAAAACTCGGCAGTAGATAGCTTGTGAGGTGGTACTGTGACAGTCTAGATATAGTGCCAGTCGATTTGATGTCAATCACTAATTTGCCAGTGTCAGTGGAAACCTCCATGAATCAGCGAAGCGCCCACCGTTTCTCACGCGCATGGGAACTCAAAAAGGTGCCATTCGATTATGCTGTGCGCAACCTCGTCGGCGAATGTCTTCTCGCTGATCAGATAACGAAGGAAGGCGGGCACACGATTTGCTGACAGGTCTGCTTGCTTCTCCTCGCAGATTTCCAGGAATGGTCATTTGGTCATTCCTATTAAAATGAATGTTTATTTCTACCAGTTTGGAGCCGCTCGCTACAGCGCGCATGCCAAAATAGGCATTAGTGGGACTGAGTATTGCCTCGTTTCAGCACCGGCTGCGTAACAAGCTGGCGACTTCAATGTTCTATCGGCGCCTTATCAGCTTTTATAAGTGGTCATCACTCTCAGTCACGCTTCTTCTGCCTCCGTGTCGCACTCCACTTAACATATATGTACAGTGGCGCTCGAAAGTCTTCGGTCAAGTGCTCTCCCAGCCGTACTTTTTCTTTTCCCGTGTCAAATTCGGTAAATGGGAGAAACAGAGAAGAATGAAGAATCATTTTGCTGGAATTTTCCGAGTATGACCAAATTCCATCTTTATTCCCAATTGTCGAAAACAAACCGATAGTCCATCAGAACAATTGACGCATATTAAGTAACTCAAGCAGAATCACTACTCTGTTGATAAACTTCTGAGATCGCTATCAACTTTAACAGTGCCCAAGTATAGCGCCATCTAATCAATTCACTCTCCATTAGATCAATCTCCTGGCGCATATTGTACCTTTTGACGACCGCCGTTATGAATGCGTCACTTCCAAGCTTTATCAAAAATTTCTCATCAATAATCGATACTCTATAACAATTACTTATTAGTAATCAGCGCATTAGTTGCGCGAATTCAGATAATGTTATTTGTGTACTTTAAAACGTGAAAATGACAAATGAAACTTCTAAAAACATGGGTGCCATCCCGAGCGAAAGTTGTGACCCACCGGCGGGCCCACACGTGTTCGTCAAGAGGCGTTAAGTAACCAGTTTCTCCTCCATTCTCTTGGCATTTTCTCCGAGAGACTTCGTCATCCTTTCCTGTAATGTCTTGATGACACTCAGGATACGCAACTTAAAATGGTTCACCCGACTAAAGCACGCCAGCGTTGAAAGCCCTTGCACAGTTGAGTTGCGTTGCTTCGTATCGCTGTTTTACTAGAAGACGAGGCCAGTTTGGTGCAGTAGCCATACGTGCGGCACAACACTATCTATGAACTAACTGGATGCGTCGGCCTTCACTACTTCTCTAATCCTATGCTGGAGTCCACCTCCTTGACGAACTACTACGAGTAATTGGGAAGGTTCTCAGTAGGGGGTTATGGTCGGAGCCAAACATACTGCATTACTTTTGCCGCTCCAAATGACGTTAAGCCGCTGCGGGGATTTCCATTTCACATGTGCGCAAACTCATTCCACTCCATAATACTTTGCAATCCAGTATCACAAGATTGGAGAAGGACGTATTCAGATAGGTGCTAGAAAGTCATGTATCCATATGTGTGTAAGCTGCACCAAACTGACCTTGTGTTCTAGCAGAAGAGCGATCGGAAGCAAGCATTGTAACTCAACTGTGCAAGAGCGTTTGACGGCATGGCGGGCTTCTTTCGAGGTGACAACTTTATTTGCATATGCATGTCATCGAGACACGGTAGGAAAGGGTTACGACATGATCTGCAGAAAAAAGGCCAGCAAGGCGCACGAGAGTTTCCACAATTTTGAGAATGATGGAGCGAGTTGCCTTAACACGTTGGCGACGATGTCGGTCAATGCTGACCGACAGGCACTCTGTCACATGGGACGATGTCGGTCAATGGTGACCGACAGCTTGAAAGTAAGCAAACTTAGATAGAACCCGTGACTTTTTTATTTCAACGTTTACTTCAGTTTCCTAACTTACTACACTTGTCTGCGAGTTATGATCCTTCTATTTCCTGGGAGTTTTATTCCGAATTAGTTATCAGTGGCAGAAACGCGCTGTCAGTTGAACCACAACCACAAAGTTCCCACCATCAGCAAACTCGAAATCTCACTAAAATTGTTCACATCGACATTTACTAATTAGGTCACCGTCACTAGAACGTCCATTTCTAGCCCCAGGTTCCCATGATGGTCATGTAGGCTCAGTCTTACTCATAGGCAGGACAAAAGTACCTATCCAGTCCATCAACTGCCAAATATTTCACAAACAATTTTCTTGTCCTTGAAATGACTCGTTTAAATCAATTTTCCGATCATGAAGAAAAAGATAACAGTCAAACAAAATCTCATTCCGTCAGGTACGCAAAGTTTTTTGCGTCACTCTCGAGTGAAGAATTCGTAGAAGATTTCAGATGTGATCAGGATACCAGTACCATCTAAAGGAAAGCTCATATTACTAATGAAAATGAAGAGTGCGTGAAATTGCGCCTTCAGAACCTATTCTAACCTGAGGTTTGAAAATGCCGGGCGATGTTACTGAAATTTCACCCAGTATTCAGTAGTAACAACGTTTCCTTGTTTCTAAACGTGTCTGGAGTACTCTAGTCAAAAGCATTTTATGCATTTCGAGATTTTACAGAGCTAAAAAATAATTTTTGCCCTTTTTTTCCCGGCGCTTTGCATGCAAAAAACGCCTC